GAATTTGAATTTGAAAACCTTAGGCGGATTTCGTCATAGGCTGTTGGGGTGGTCTGGGAGGCGGCGGTTGGCGCGCTGCCCGCAGGTTACCCCTCGTCCCAACCTCCCCTCCTGGCTTGACACTTGACGCACGGAACAGGAGCAAATTGGCACGGGAGAGAGATGTGCGGCGGCCGGGGTCCTCGCTACCCTGAATTACGAACAGTTGACAAACGTGGAAGTGGTCGTGTGGGGCCAGGGTCGCCGGCCATGAGAGAGAGAGAGAGAGAGATCAGCCGCGAGCCACCTACCCGGATGAGGGGCCTAGTCGAAGCCACGCCACTCATCATTACTTTATTACACTCATGTGGCGAATAGAAACTGTATCCGTATATACTCAAGCGTTGAGTAAGAGGTGAGTACGCGTGGTGAAGCAGTAAGTCACCGGGGAAGGCCATTAGAGGCCCCGGCCATGCCTGGCAAATAGAACAACAAAGGACATAATGTCAAGAGTATATGGTCTCGTATCCCTGTGGCGCTTACCGCTCGCCGCCTCCCGATCCTTTCACTCTTGACTTCGCTCACCACCACCTATCAAAAAAATATGTTGATAGTGATCGTGTTTATTTTCAATTTCTACATTAATGCCGGCACTAACTTGAGAGAGAGAGACACGCGCGGAGGGAGGCGGCACTCAGAGCCTAGTAACAGCAGGTCAACACTGCCACGCGTGCTACGGAAGCCGGTGCCAGAATCTGCAACGGGAACACTCATCAGTGCCACATAGAAAAGAAGATCGCCCGATTTTCTTCCTTATAATCATCTCTTTTTTTTTTTCCCCCAACTCTGATCTTCAAGGTCACTCATCAGCTGGTGGCTAACACCACGTGACTACTGGCGCCGCAGGTCATAATTGTTGACATAGTGATGCCAAATTAGCCTTAAATGACTAATAGGGAGTCATGTGGTTATAGCCAAAATATGAACTGTTCTGGGTACATCGTTAGGGGGAACCGGTGATTGGGGGATGGGAAAGGGGGAATAGGAGGGGGGTGGGGGTGCAGGGGGGGACCTGGGAAGGGGGTGATAACCACAAACAACCCCCCATTTCCCTCCCCCCCCCCATTAGCTCCCTCACTTAGCAGTGAGAAGAAAAGATTAAATAACACAAGCAATCATTCGTGTACTTGACCCTGACGCCATGCTGAGCCTCATGACTATCTGATCAAGCAGGTGATTGTTGCTGGCGCTCCTCCAGGTCCCGCACAACCATCACCTGACTCGACGCTCTCCTCAGGCACTTCAAGTGACTGACCTGACCCCCCTCGCTGGCTCCCAGTGACCTCTAGCTCTCGGGCCCTGGCTGAGGCACCACCCACCTGGGCCCCGATGTATTGACCATTGTATTGACGGTATGCGGATATGTGTGTGCGTCATGTAGTCCACATGGCGGTGTTATGTGGTGCCAAACATAGAGGTAAACGCTCCGTGTTTACGCATTCAACGCATCGTCAGCTGCGCATGGCGAGTTTCTCGCCGTCGGGGGGGATACGAATCGTCTGAAGACATATCTGGGTCACCTTTATAGCCAACGACTGAATTTCTCCAGGATGCAACCCACAACAGTCTTCTAGCTCTCCGTATCTACAGCTAAGTGATCACGAGCATCAGGATAGTAAACAAACAGAATGGAACGCCCTCCATGAACTGGTGGAATCAGACTGCCTATCTTCAAGACGAAACTAGATTTATTCCTCCAAGTGCCGGACCAACCGGGCTGGTTGATACCTGGTTGATACCTGGTTGATGGGGTTCTGGGAGTTCTACTCCCCCAAGCCCGGCCCGAGGCCAGGCTTGTGAGAGTTTGGTCCACTAGGCTGTTGCTTGGAGCGGCCCGCAGGCCCACATACCCACCACAGCCCGGTTGGTCCGGCACTCCTTGGAGGAAGGGTTGTGGTGGGTATGTGGGCCTGCGGGCCGCTCCAAGCAACAGCCTGGTGGACCAAACTCTCACAAGTCAAGCCTGGCCTTGGGCTGAGCTTGGGGGGTAGAAGAACTCCCAGAACCCCATCAACCAGGTATCAACCAAGTATCAACCAGTTATACAGTGTAGAATGCAGTTATGACAGTCCCCCAATTAAGAGGCGGGGCCAAGGAGCTGAAGGTAAATCCCCCACAAGCACAGTTACGTGATTACATCTTAAATCACCTAAATGGGTACCCAGAAGGTACCTGTGTACCCACGAGGCTCGTGGATCATGAACAAATCCACAAGGGCCGTGACGAGGATTCGAACCTACGTCCGGGAGCATCCCAGACTTATGCTCTCTTAATCGACTGAGCTACGACATGGTAAAAGAATTGCAACCTGAAGTTCTACTGAACTTACTTGGATCCTGCAGCCTCTCCGAGACACAAACCAGCATTTTACACAATTCATTTTTTTACACAATTAAAGTATTATCTCGCGAATTATCTATAAAAGGTTTGTTAACGTTAAAACTATCTTAACAAAACAGGACTTGAAACAATGAGTAAAAATGGGATAAGTTTAGATTCAGGAAAGACATAGATGATTATCTTGAGGTTATCTTGAGATGATTTCGGGGCTTTTAGTGTCCCCGCGGCCCGGTCCTCGACCAGGCCTCCACCCCCAGGAAGCAGCCCGTGACAGCTGACTAACACCCAGGTACCTATTTTACTGCTAGGTAACAGGGGCATAGGGTGAAAGAAACTGTGCCCATTGTTTCTCGCCGGCGCCAGGGATCGAACCCGGGACCACAGGATCACAAGTCCAGCGTGCTGTCTGCTCGGCCGACCGGCTCCCCCGACCGACCTGGTTACCGGTGTGTTAACAGGTTTGTTGAGTTACAGAACAAATTACCGGGCAACACAACCGATGTGGGATAGCTGGAGTGTTTCAAGCGCAGGTCAAACATATATACATACCCCATGAATTTCGGTGACCAAAACCAGGAAGAGTCTCGCAGTTGTTGTTGTTGTTTCAGATTTAGCTACTCAGGACGGAGTGTCCATGTAGCACGGGCTATGGTGAGCCCGTGGTCTCGCAGGCTCCAGTAGATCTTTGCATGCTCCTTTTATTCTCATTTGAAGTTCTTAAAAGTTAAAGTTTCTCTCGGAACACCGAGGAAATATCCCAGCAACCGGCACAGCGAGCCATATAGAGTTTCCAAAATAATAACAATAGGGAACTAAGTATTGGATAACCGTAACGCTAAGAATACCATTCCTTTCCCCCGTCCCATCCCAAATCCTTATCCTGACCCCTTTCCAAGCTCTATATGGTTGTAATGACTTGGCGCTTTATCATGAGAGCAGCGGACTGTGAGGTGATTCACGTTCCACAAGATGAACACTTTTAAAACATCATCAGAGAGAAGTGAGGGAAACATGTGAGGAACGTGCAGCATACAGTAAGGTTTATTTGGTGGATAAATGATAAGGTTTGGGGTGGAGAGGTGTCTGAAATCAATTTAGGGATACAGGAACATAACAGCGATTTGATTTATGGCATTAAATTATTGTAGATGTGTGTGTGTGTGTGTGTGTGTGTGTGTGTGTGTGTGTGTGTGTGTGTGTGTGTATTCACCTAGTTGTGCTTGCGGGGGTTGAGCTATGCTCTTTCGGCCCGCCTCTCAACTGTCAATCAATCAACTGTTACTAACTACTAACTTTTTTCAGACACATCCCAAGGAAGCAGCCCGTAACATCTGACTAACTCCCAGGTACCTATTTACTGCTAGGTAACAGGAGCATCAGGGTGAAAGAAACTCTACCCCATTTGTCTCTGCCGGCGCCGCGAGAATTGAACCCGGGCCACAGGATTACCAGTCCCGGGCGCTATCCTCTCAGCTACCAGACCCCCTATGTGTGTGTGTGTGTGTGTGTGTGTGTGTGTGTGTGTGTGTGTGTGTGTGTGTGTGTGTGTGTGCACGGTGTACACACACACACACACACACACACACACACACACACACACACACACACACACACACACACACACACCTGGTAAACATCTGATACTGTAGACCTGCCCAGGCGACCATCTTAGACTCCAGCAACCTAACTACCGTAACAATCGTTACAGTGACAGCCACTACGGTAACCCCCGGTCACGTAACAACCAACCCTAGGCCTATCACCCCTAGACCTATCTCCAATCACCCCTAGTCTAGACTTAACAAATCCCAATAAGCTGTTAAGAGAGAAAATGAATCTGACTTAAATGGTTCTTTAAGATGGGGTCAAGTCATGGTCTTCTTCTCTCACTAATGGTGGCCACTGGCGCTTGAGCATTCATAGGTCAGAGGTCCTGTTACTTGGAACTTGTTCCGACACCCCTGTGTCCCCTCTACTACACCTTGCTGACACCAACAACACATTGAATCAAGGTATAAAAAAAAACGCCTCTGCTGTACAACCACACGTGTCTTCATTCCAAACCTAAGACACACACACACACACACACACACACACACACACACACACATGGGGGGCCTCGTAGCCTGGTGGATAGCGCGCAGGACTCGTAATTCTGTGGCGCGGGTTCGATTCCCGCACGAGGCAGAAACAAATGGGCAAAGTTTCTTTCACCCTAAGTGCCCCTGTTACCTAGCAGTAAATAGGTACCTGGGAGTTAGTCAGCTGTCACGGGCGGCTTCCTGGGGTGTGTGTGTGTGTGGTGTGGGAAAAAAAAATAGTAAACAGTTGATTGACAGTTGAGAGGCGGGCCGAAAGAGCAAAGCTCAACCCCCGCAAAAAACACAACTAGTAAACACACACACACACACACACACACACACACACACACACACACACACACACACACACACACACACACACACACACACACCGTTCTCCTAGAACTATTTACCAGAAAAAATTCACATTTCCCCCAAAGGAGAAGTGCCCAGGTGCCAAAGAGTTAGAGTTAGAGGAGGAAGGGAAAGTACCAAGAGGAAAGTACCCGAGGCAGCTCACGCGCGTGCGTGTGTACTTACCCTCTCACAAAGGCAGCGCACGCAGCTCCACACGCCGAAGGGTGGCCCCAGGTTGGGGCTCCACTCATCCCCTAGGGAGTACCGCTCCTTACCCAGACGACACTCTGTATTGGGCAGAAACACCTTTGGTTAGTACACCTTTGGTTAGTACACCTTTGGTTAGTACACCTTCACTCACCTCACACACCCAATCACCAATTACAGTCAGGTAATCAATTAAGGTTCATTAAGATCAGGATCCTGAAGGTGCGTCTTGACGTCCCTCGCCTTGACGTCTCCGTGACGTCTAAGTGACGTTGGGGGGGGGGGGAACAGGTGAGAGAATATATATTGTATTTTAGTGCACAAAATCGTATGTTTTCATGAACAAACTCACTTGAAAATCACTCTCAAGAAAGACATGATAAAGTATACTTCATTTTTTTATTTCATAAAATATTCTTGCAAAAATAGGTGCGTCGAAACGTCGTCGTCCCTTCAACTTCTAGTGTGTGGTCTGGTCAACATAGGTGCGTTTTTTTTATGTTGATGAATATGTTGAGTTTACCTGGGCATGTTGCCACCAGGGGGGTACAGGATGATGCACGCACGCACACACACACACACTCACACTCAGCCTTAGCCAACTCCCATTCACACTAATCATCACACACCCATCACCAATACTTTGATGAAGTTCTGGCCACCTTTTGGGGCAGGCACAGGTGCCAACGCCACCCAACAGGTGCCAACGCCACCCCACAGGTGCCAAAGCCACCCAACAACCCTGCTTGACAACGGTGCCAGCAGCAGTTGTTTGCAACAAATTGCCTGTTCAAGCGAGGAGTGACACGAGTTACCAGTCGGCCCTTGCGTGTGTCAAGAGACTTGTCAAGAGACTTGTCAAGCTTGTCACAGAGACCTCGTTTGTCAACGTCATGCTCGTCAGGCATGCACCTGTCATGCCGTGCCATGCTGGGCATTCATGACACCTCCCGTGACATGTTGGTGCGACATGTTGCGCTATAAATGCATATTATTATTATTAACATCTTTATTGACAAAATTAATTACAATTTTGCCTAATCTGAGGATTTCAATTAAGTCTTATTAAAGTGAGGATAATGGTGGTATTCACTGTCACGCAGGACAGAGGGTCATACACAAGACAATAGGTCTAAACTGTAGGCTGAAGCACATATATATCATGGTTACAATCAATGTTTTAATGTATGGATATGTGAAAACAACTTTCTATTGTGCACTGCCACACAAGGGCAGGGATGTGCACTGCCACACAAGGGCAGGGATGTGCACTGCCACACAAGGGCAGGGATGGGTTCATAAGTGATGCAGCTTAGAAGTAATATAAATAAAAATTGTTCTTCATTCTTTAAAATGGACAAGCAAATTTTGGATAAATTGTTAGGATGTCGTCCAGAACACCTGAGTCAATAAAATAGTTACACAGTTGGTGGTACAAGAGGCCAGGAGGTCTAAAGTCCTTTACGGTTTCACATTCATCAATATAGTGTTCTAGTGAATGCATTAAAGGTTTATCACAGAGTTTACAATCTGAGTATTCTGGTAGTGGCTCAGCCTCACTAACCTGCCAGATGTGTCTATAGCCAAGGCGAATTACAGCAATGACTACATCACATTGCCTGGTCCGGTTACTGTGCTGACCATACAAATACCTATTATTACAAAACTTGTCATAACTTTTAATACTGCAGCTTTCAGGTCTCTGGGCATTTCTTAGTTCTTCTAAATCTGAATTAATTTCTTTAATTTGTATGTTTCTAATAACTGCATTAGATAGTCCAAAGTCATAATCAATGTTTTCTTTCCTGCAAGCCTCATTGGCCAATTGATCTACAAAGTCATGTTTTCCAACTCCAACATGGGATGGGATCCACACAAATTTTATACAAGAATTATTATCATTGGCAAAAATTACATTCCATTTAATATTACAAGCTACTTCCGACATACATTGTGATGGGTTATTTAAGGACTGCAGAGCACTTTTAGAGTCACAGAAAATAACTCCACCACCATTGAGCTTAAGGTATTCAGTGGCTAGATAAATACCCAATAGCTCGGTCTGTGTCGTGCTTGCCCAGTTGACTGCACATGCACAACCTGTTCTACCACAGACAGACACAGACAGAGAAGCTCCAGCCCATAAACCAACGTAAATGTTTTTTCTTTTTCTTTGACAGGGAAAGTTGACTTCCCTCCCCCCCCCCCACACTCACCCCCTCATGGTGAGGAAAGTTGACTCCTTCCCTCACACCTCCCCCTCCCTCCCCCCCCCCCCCCCACACTCACCCCCTCATGGTGAGGAAAGTTGACTCCTTCCCTCACACCTCCCCCGCCCCCCTCCCCCACCCCCACTACAGATAGTTACCACTTACGTTGCCACAATTTTAACCTATCAACGGTATAGGTAAAGTAATAACTGTAATTAAGAAACAATAAGATGCTTATCTTAACATACTAAGAAGGTTAGGTAAGGTCGGTGTTTTCTATGAAGCTTTTCAAGGTAAACTAAAATATTCAGAATCAATTAGTATGTCACATAAGTACTTATTAAATAAGCCAATATTGACTATAAGCAAGTGCGAGAACGGGTTGAATCGTTGCCGATCAAAATAAGTAACTGTACAGGGGAGGTGGTTGGTTACTAACCGTGGTGGTGGTTGGTGGCTGGTAGTGGCAATAGTGGTAACACCTATAATAGTGTTTATCTTGAGGTTATCTTGAGATGATTTCGGGGCTTTTTTAGTGTCCCCGCGGCCCGTTCCTCGACCAGGCCTCCACCCCCAGGAAGCAGCCCGTGACAGCTGACTAACACCCAGGTACCTATTTACTGCTAGGTAACAGGGGCATAGGGTGAAAGAAACTCTGCCCATTGTTTCTCGCCGGCGCCTGGGATCGAACCCAGGACCACAGGATCACAAGTCCAGCGTGCTGTCCGCTCGGCCGACCGGCTCCCTGGTGGATGGCGTGGAAACTACCCAACTACATAAGTCCCCCCCAATTATCCACTCCAACACGAGAAGACGCTATCCAAACGCCGCAAAAAATATCACACAAATCAAGAGTAAAAACTAAAAAAAAATATTCGTTGGAGGGATATCTAACCAGCAATTAGTGAAGGCTAATTGGCTTGTCCATCACAAGCTTTTGAACACTCTCGTCTGTCACAGAAAACGGTTGTCGTTAGCCATCATAATACTAAGAAAAAGAAAGAGAAACTAATATAATTCAATTCCAAAATAGTTTCAGGGTTCAGCAGTTTTATTCTCTCTTAATATCTTCACTTTTCTCACCATATTACATATTTACTATTGCTAGTTCTCCTATCGCGTCCTAGGGCCAGATTCGCGAAGCGGTTACGCAAGCACTTACGAACGTGTACATCTTTTCTCAATCTTTGGCGGCTTTGTTTACAATTATTAAACAGTTAATGAGCTCCGAAGCACCAGGAGGCTGTTTATAACAATAACAACAGTTGATTGGCAAGTTTTCTTGCTTGTAAACTGTTTAATAAATGTAACCAAAGCCGTCAAAGATTGAGGAAAGATGTATAGGTTCGTAAGTGAAAGTTCGTAAATAGGTACCTGGGAGTCGAAAGAGCAGAGCTCAACCCCCACAAGGACAACTAGGTTAACACACACACACACACACACACACACACACACACACACACACACACACACACACACACACACACACACACACACACACACACACACACACACACACCAGTAACTCACTCCTGACGTCAAGACTTCCCTAATACATCCACGTGACATCCTACCACAGTGTGAGGGGGGGGGATGTCTCAGGCTACCACACTTAACACTTAAGACACTTGTAAGTTGCTCACACGAGCAGCATATTAAAGTGACCCCTCCCCTCTCCTCCCTCCCCCACCGTCTGCAACCCTCAACCCCCCTCCCCTGCCCCCCCACTTTATTTTTTAGGTTGGGGCATAGTTCCTGGACTCCAACTTGTGGGAGAGCGCGTGTCCGTGACTGTGGATATTTATGTGTAAGTGATCTTAACACACACACACCCGCCTCGACACCCATCATCCTCCATGCTCCCCTGCACACTCCCACACACTCCTACACACTCCCACACACTCTTACACACTCCCACACACTCTTACACACTCCCACACACTCTTACACACTCCCACACACTCTTACACACTCTTACACACTCCCACACACTCCCACACTCTCCCACACACTCCCTCACTCTCCCACACTCCCACACACTCCCCCACTCTCCCACACACTCCCACACTCTCCCACACTCTCCCACACACTCCCCCACTCTCCCCCACTCTCCCACACACTCCCACACTCCCAACAATGCACAACACTCGAGAACTGGAATAAGTTGCAGGAATTCCTTGATAGCCTTCAGGTATGGTGGGGAGAAATGGCTACTGGACTTCAATGCAGCTAAATGCAAGGTAATGGGAACTAAGAAAGAAGCTAGAACACCCACTGAACCGAATGACATAAAAGGGAGATACACAACAGGGGCACCAACACTACACAACAGGGGCACCAACACTACACAACAGGGGCACCAACACTACACAACAGGGGCACCAACACTACACAACAGGGGCACCAACACTACACAACAGGGGCAGCAACACTACACAACAGAGGCAGCAACACTACACAACAGAGGCAGCAACACTACACAACAGAGGCAGCAACACTACACAACAGAGGCAGCAACACTACACAACAGAGGCAGCAACACTACACAACAGAGGCAGCAACACTACACAACAGAGGCACCAACACTACACACAGGGGCACCAACACTACACAACAGGGGCACCAACACTACACAACAGGGGCACCAACACTACACAACAGAGGCAGCAACACTACACAACAGAGGCACCAACACTACACAACAGAGGCACCAACACTACACAACAGGGGCACCAACACTACACAACAGGGGCACCAACACTACACAACAGGGGCACCAACACTACACAACAGGGGCACCAACACTACACAACAGGGGCACCAACACTACACAACAGGGGCACCAACACTACACAACAGTGTTCTCAACA